GCGACCAAAACTTTGTCTATTTGTGTGTCTGTGTCTGTGTCTGTGTGGGTGTGGGTGTGAGGGTGTGCATTTCTTGAGATTGTCATTTGGCACAGGGGATTTTAGATTAGGACACATCTGCAGTGAGAACATAACCTCATTATGCTGATTTTCGTTACTCAGCGCTTGATCTCCTGACACCTCCGAGGTAATTTCATGTCCGTAAGGGAAGGGAGTCGAGGAGTAAGTGATGTTCTAACCATGTTGTCCTTTTCTCCTCTCTCTCTCTTTCTCCGTACAGCTCCCACCTTTCCCCTATATCCATCCTGCCTGCTGACTCTGCTGAGTAAGTACAGACACACACACACACACACACACACACACACACACACACACGCTCACCAGCAATTTATCCACTCACAACACCATAAATAGGCACTTCTTTATGTACACACCCTGTAGTAACCTACAGACATACTCTTAACAAAATTCCAGCGACACTAAGAAACTTTTATGTGCACCTGCTTGTAAAAACAAATAAATCTTTAAGCAAGTCCTGCAAAGGTAATGAAGAGGATGATGGAAAAGTGTAAACAGGGGGTAAGAGAGCCGGGTTGGTTGAAGTGTTAAGAGGAAGTAAAGGGCCATCTGCTCAAGAGGCAGATGAAATAACAAGAATCAACAGAAGAAGAAGTGCAAGCAGCTCTGTGAAGAGTCGGAGAAGAGGAAGAGGCTAAGAGGAAGTGATAGGGAGGAAAGGGGAAAGCCTTGTGTGTTGTGCTAAACTAAAGCATGTTGTGTGGCTCTGTGCTTTTAGAGCCGCAAGGACATGAACTCAGCAATCACATGACTGTCAGGCGTCTGCCTCTTCACTGCACGACATGGGCTCAGAGTAAATCCATTCACTGTGCTGCTGTACATTCATGTGAGAATCTGGAAGCTTGAGAGCACAAAGGTGTCTCAGGAATAACACGTGAAAACTGAAAGTGTGTGTGTGTGTGTGTGTCATCAATGACAAAAGAGAACAAAACCTTTTGCATTTGTTGACATCAACATGCTATCAATTCATCTGCTGATTTCTTTTGCTGAGAAAGTATTTGCTAAATCGTCATGTCTACAGAATGCCAAAAAATAGCTGATGGTTGCTTCACTATTTCCTAAATACCAATGTGCCAAAGAAAAGAGACAAGTCGTCAGCTGGAACTGGTGTTTGTCTTTGTTGTTTTAAATAATTACTTAAACAATGAATCTGTTATCAAAGTAGTTGCTGATTAATATTGACATCAACTACTTCATTATTGAACCGAGTGCTTCAGCTGTAACATATTGGCTCAATCATTTCCATTTAGGATGGCTGTCTTCATATTTTTCATATCGTAGTCTGTTTGGATTATTTTCGTATTCTTACAAAATACATTTTTATCAGTCAAACTTCATCTGGATAAACACAAACCTGCGCAAGATTAGATGTCAAGAAAGAAAGCAAACAATGAGATAAATAATCAAATATAAATGGCAAATGGCTGGACGGACTGAAACAAATAATTGTTTTAATTACGTGTAATATGGTGGACGAGGGCCTCAATGTTTTTGACCATAATATTGTAGGAATAAAGCTGCCAATAATGAAGAATACATAGACTGACATACGAGTAGACTAATCTTGGAACACGTGTCCAGTAGTTTGACTATCTCCTGGGTAGAACAGGATCTACCGGCACATTTCCAGACATCCATTAGATAACTTCGCGGCTTTGGTTTCATAGACCGTCTTGTGTCTCTGAGTGTGATTTACAGTATGTCTTCACTTTCCTCTCGCTGCCAGGATGCGTTCAAAAGGATTCCCCTCTGTTGGGAGGCATGAAAGGATTTAGACAAAATTTAGTCGGCAGCAAAGACACACAGTGGTTGTCTTGACCGTGTGTGTGTGTGTGTGTGTGTGTGTGTGTGTGTGTGTGTGTGTGTG